GGGGGGGGGGGGCGGACATGGACACACAGGCAAAGCCAGCCTAGGAACTCTTGGTTGGTGGGAAATAGATGCTTCATTCCACAAAGGAAGTAAAAGGAAGGACATTTGAGAATTTGGTTGCATTTGGTTGCAAAGAAAACAACCTTACAAATTCAGTAAGTAAATGTGCTAAATACTAATTGGGCTGGTGGGGCAAAAGCAGGTGGTATTTCCCCCCACCTGTCAGAACAGTAAGGCCCTGCGCTCAAGGAGAGGCCTCCACCAGATCACAAACTCTGCTGATGGGAGGAGAGGCCGCTCACACTGCCTGCAGCGTCCACTTCGCCAGTTACTTGTGGCCAATTTCCATCCACCTCGCGGGCAGAGGGAGACCTGCCTAGTCTCATTCATTCCCTGTGGGCAGTGCGTGCTAAGGGGCCACTTTCAGCATCATCTTGGGTGAAATGTGTTTCAGAGAATAAACTCTGCTGTGAAAAACAATTCCATGGGCTGAAGGACCTTTGAGATAAACTGGTCTAAGCCTGCTCCTTTCACAGGGCCCTTTCTGAGGCCCAAGGACATGGCACAGTCCAGAGAGGTCACTGTAGCCCCATAGCACCTATTCTGGTCTTCTCTTTGCAGGGGGGAGTCACAGTTTCTTCCTCGGTAAGTTCTGGGGCAAAGAAAATCCGGCCTGTGAGAGATAGGGTGTGAGGGCAGAGGCTGTGCTGGGGATAGTGCGATGTCCACTCAGACATTCTCCCTGTCCTGCAGGCTTCCCGGGCACGGCCTGGCCTGCTGCAGTGGGTGAAGTTCTGGTAGGTGAGTGTTTAGGGAGCCATGCTCGGCTGCATCCAGGAGCTGGGGCGCTACCACCCAGGGGCAGGCATTTGCTTTGCTCTGGATGGATACTCTAAAGGTATCGAGGAGGTGAGCCCAGTGTGGGGGTGTGGCGAAAAACTCATGAGATATGATCTACTTAGAAAGCACCAGTGATTGCTGAGTGAAGCCTGATGGAGGTGGGACCATGGAGGTGGCATACTAGGTTAAGGAGAGAGACTGGGACAGGAACTGTGCAGGGCAACTGTAGAGAGGTGAGCCTTTCAGGTGTAAAGGGTCGGAGACAGGAGGCAGGAGTGAGTCCCTATTCGGGGAGAGGTAATAGATTAACTTGGCAGAACCTCACAACCTGCTTTAGGGGACAGCAGAAGTGAAGGATGGCAGGTGAAATAGGTGAGACACAAAGGAACTGGGGGATCGCAGGAGCTGGATGAAGGGACGCCTGGTTTCAACAGATTGGGGAGTAGTCACAGCTACATTTGCTCTTTTCTTTTCTTCTAGAAAATTGCTCCCAGCCACACCTGAGGACCTGAAAAACATCAGTCATCAAGGAGCCCAACTGCTCCCCTCCCCGAGCTCTCCCTCCATGCCAGGCCTGGTCTGGGTGTTGACACCTGCTTTTTCTAGGTTGGGGACCTGGTCTGTCTGTCCCTTGTTTCTCCCCACCCGGTGTGGTGTCTCCTTGACCACCAGCCTCATCAAATAAACCAGCCACTTCCTCTACCTACCCCCTTCATGACCTGAAGTCACTGACAGTCTTTTAGGAGGAGCTTCCCACTTTTGAGTTTCTCTGTGGAAATAAAACATGAATCTTGCTTCTCTAAGACTTTTGCAAATTTTATTCTTTAGCATTATACTTATGGCCTGGACCAGGGAGGATGGAAGAGCGATTTAGGGGCAGATAACCTGCCTTCCTCCTGACACTGATATACACAGTGGTGGGCTGAGAGAGATAAGACCTGGGCAGCCCTGACAAGAAGTAGCTAGCTGATCTCACTGGGCCTCGGTTTCCCCATCTGTAAAAGATGACCTTTGCCCCACTTATATCGGAATACCATGCTTACTGCCCTTGAAGCAGCCATAGGGGTTTTGCTAGCCTGAACAAGCAACGAGGGGGCTATTCAAGCCAGAAAGTGGGAGTAAAGAGCCTGTTCAAAGAGAGGAGACCAGCCCGGCGGGCGTGGCTCAATGATTGAACCAGGAGATTCCAGGTCAGGGCACATGCCCAGATTTTGGGCTTGATCCCCAGCAGGGGGCGTGAGAGAGGCAGCCAATCAATGAGTCTCATCATTGATGTTTTTATCTCTCTCTCCCTCTCCCTTCCTCTCTCTGAAATCAATAAAGACATATCAAGAAAAGAGAGAGGCCCCAGAGGTCAGGGAGAGGGCATGAACAAGAGCAAGGGGTGTGTACAGAATATGCCCCAGCCTCATAAATGCACTGAAGGGTGAATGAGGGGACGGTTGGGTTGCCACATTTAAGAAGATGGGGGGCAGCTCATATCCAGCATCTTCTCACATGCGGTGGCCCTGTGTCTCCAGGAGGGCAGGGGGGCAGGAGAACACCTCTACCCCAGTAATGTACCAATGAGGCAGGCAGAGGGCACAGGCTCAGCCAGGCTCACCATTAGCCCAGGAGCCCTGAGGACAAGGCTGGAGAGTCACCAGTTAGAGTCTCTGAGCCAAAGTTCCATCAAAGCCACACTGTGTGTCCAAATTAAGGAGCCCCCATCGCCCATCCCTGACATCCCTTCAGGACCCCGGGAAGTAGAAGGAGGGCATGAGACACCCTGCTAGCCCAGGTGACTCCCTCTGAGACTGCAAGTTTTCTGAGGGCATGGCCTGCCTGCCTTGCTCCCTGCGCCGACCCCAGTGCTTAGCACAACACCTGGTTGCAGGGGAGGGCAGGCCTCAAGTATTGATGAATAAATGAAAGAAACCATGCCCAGAGTGGACTTGGGGAAACCGGCTTGATCAAATCCATCAGACTGGGAGAAAGAGGAGGGCTACTCGCTCCTTCGCTCTGCACCCTCTTCTTACTGATGTCCCTGAGTTGGGGCTACTGCTTTGTACTCCTCTTGGGTTTCAACTGTGCAGGGACAGCCTTGCGGTACCTCCTTGCGGCCACACGGGGGAGAACGCAGCCGCCCCAGGGCCAACACTCAACCTTGGCGGGCCCACAGCTAGCTTCCTGGAGTGTGGGCGAGATTTCAGAAATAGCTGGAACTCCCGTCTCCTGGAGCCGGTCCCTGAAGGACTGAGGGGAAGCCTACGTGGGCAACCTGGTTCTGGGCTCTTGGGGCTGAAAGCACCCCTTTACAGTTTAAAGGACCACCTGAAGCAGGCGCAGGCCCTTGTGTAAGGAGTTTATTGACTGGGCCACCCCTTTCTCCTGCCTGGGCCAGCCTCTGAAGCAGCTTGCCAAAGTCTGTTCATTTTCCCCCTAGAATCCGTTCTCTCATGACAGCCAGGGAGGATCCCCTGCTCAGAACCTCTAGAGTAAAACCCCAACTCCTCAGCGTGGCTCTGGGTGACCTGGCTCTGGCTCCCTTCTCCAGTGTCATCCCAGACCTGCTGGGAAAGGCCCTTGGGGACACTGCTGTTATCTGCCCCTGGAACCCAGGATCTTCAGAAGTTTGGAGCTTTAGGTCTAAATTCAGATGCCCTCCCCAAGCCAGCTTAGCCAAGGAAACGTACATGAGCACCAACAGATCATCCTATTTTAACTTCTTCACAGGCTTTGTCATTCTCTGAAATTATCTTGGGTCCTAATTTTTTTGTTAGATTGTGATCAGTTTCCTCCACCAGGACATAAGCTCCACAGGACAGGTATCATGTCCATCTTCAATTCCCAGCGCCAAGAGCCAAAGTGGCTGCTCGATAAATATTTACAAGTTAGAGAATAAAAAAGGAGGGATCAGAAGTAAGTTGGATCAGTCCAGGAAGTCTTTCTGAGAGAAGTTTAAGCAAAGGGTACACAGGGACAAAAGGTGGGTGGCAAAGGAAAAAACCTGCTGGGCAATGCGGCTGCTTTCTTGGGTGTGATAAATACACTGGCACAGGGAGAAAAGGCCGGGACAGGGAGGCCTTGAGCTCTGCCTGCCAACCCCCACGTACCCCAGGACCCCACTTCCCGGCCCCCTTTCTCTCCAAGGCTTGTCACCTGGGCCCTGAGGCCCCAGTGTCCATCCCTTCAAACTCCCATTCATCCTTTCAAACTCCCATTCATTGCCTGAAACCAGGAGGCTAGCTCCCAGCTCCTAGGTGTGTCTGTAATGTAGCAATCAGGGCTGGGCCTCACCTCCTACCCACACTCAAGTTCTGGCAGAGTCTGAGGTAAGGTGGGGGCAGGCCTGTGGGAAACCAGGGGTTTACTGGTATGCGCAGAGAGGGGACTAGGAGATCAACCAGACTTGGAAATGGGTGGGTGCAGAGCCAGCTCTGTGGCTCTGCCTGACCATTAACCCGATGCGATATATACAAAGCAAAGCTGAACCCTGGGACCATTCTGCCAGCCATCACCTGAATTACTAGGATCCTCTCCCAGTGAGAATCCCCCTACCTGCCTGACCACTGGACACTGGACATTCAGGAAATACGAACACCCTAGTCAGCACTTACAGCATATGTCATGTAAGCCAAAACTGTCCTTAAAATTCCATCAGGAAGGCATCGAATTGATACAATACCTAAGTCTAGCACAACCAGTTTTTTCTCCAGTATAAGAACAGAATTTCTTTGGTTGTGCACATGAAGTAGCTGGCCTGTGTTTAGAGGCATTATTAAAAAGCACCTATCTCTCAACACTAGAACTTTAAACACTAGAACTAGAAATATATATATATTTTAAACATATCTTTATTGATTTCAGAGAGAGGAAAGGAGAGGGAGAGAGAGAGATAGAAACATCAATGATGAGAGAGTCATTGATCGGCTGCCTAGCCTGCAACCCAGGCATGTGCCCTGACCGGGAATCGAACCCCGATCTCCTGTATCCTAGGTCGATGCTCAACCCCTGAGCCACACCCAGTCAGGCTAGAAATATTTTTAAATACATGCTTGGTGTGGCAAGATGCTCATACTATATGAGGCATCTGGAAACTGAGGCAATTGCAGGTTCATTCTGGGGCATATGCTCATTGATGCCACCAACCCCTTAGTTCTGTTTTCATTTTGCCAAGAATGTACAGTTTAAGTCGTTGAAATTAATACACAATACTCACAGCTGCCACCTATGGCTGTGCAGGCTGCACACCGCAAAGGACAGCTGGTCAAGGGGGCTAATGGGGACTAAATGCAGCCTGCCCCCCAGCTCTCAGGGCTTGGATCTAATTCACACAAGCTGGCACTTGGGCTGGCCGAGGCCCTTTGTAGGACACTACTCCACAGGATAGCAAAGAGGCAATACAGGTGCAGGCTCTGGAATCCTGGGGTTTGAACGCTGGCCCTGCCATACTGTGCGACCTTGGGTAAATTACTTAACCTCTCTATGCTGTGGTTTCCATACCTAAAGAATGTGGATAATTATAGTGTCTACCTCACAGAATCACTGTGACATTTCAGTGAGATCATGCGTTTAGAGCACTTAGTGCAAGGCCTGCCCCATAGTAAGACATCAATAAATCGGCTGACATTATTATTAGCAGCGTTGGTATTAGGTGGAGAGGAAAACAGGAAAGTCAGTTTGTTGCTAAAGACTCTAGAGCCAAACAGATGATGGTGTTTGGGGGTGTCTGGATCATCTGCTGCTTTAGATGCCGAAGTGTTCCTGCATTAGCATGTGTAATTGAGGATGATTTTATAGTAGCAGGTCTCTTTTGTCAATTCTTCATTCCTTTTGCTCCTGGAGTTGACTTTATGCTGACAGAATGGTGGTTAACGAGCTCCTTCAATCACTGTTAATTAATTAGTAAGAATTCATTACACATAAAAACTATGTCCTCCAGAAAACTTTTTGGGAGGTGCTCCACCCACGGCAGTCATTTTTTCGCTTGTCCCCTCCAGTAGCACCAACTGCACATGACATCCACTGTCACAGGTCATCTGTGCTTAGTGAGTGTCCCTTAAGCACTGTCTCCTCGGGCAGCTCTATAAAAACACAGGAGGCCTCCTAAGGCTAAAGAGGGACAGGGTGTCAGGGAGCGGGGTGAGAACTGAGCTGAAGTGCTTCTGGGGTTCAGAAAGATTGTTCATGGGTGACTGTCGCCCTCCCACTCTAGGCCGCCATCTGCGGGCATTGCATCAGGTTGGACAAAGAGGCCCGCTCTTAAATAAGGCCTTGCTTTGTCCTGGCAGTGCCAGTCCCGGTCCCAGCACCTCCCTGTTACGCCAGGAACCGGTCGGGCCACCTGAGCCTCATTGTGGGGAGGGGTGCTTGATTAGGATGTTTATGTTCTTTGAGGTGATCAGCTCCGGAGCTGGGGGAGAGAAGGGGGTGGGTGGGATAAGTCAACGAGTTGGAGTAGGCGCTCTACGTTCAGGACTAGATACCATCTCCAGCTGGTTGGCTCTAAGACATGTTTTGCATTTTTTTCTCTGTTCCTTGTCTTAGCTCAAAACAGTCACCCCTCTGAAGGCTCAAGAGTAAAAGATGAGCAGGTGGATAAGGGGAGGAAAGGGTACAGCTTGGTGGGAGGCTGCTCGAGTTCCAGCGTCTCCAGCC